ATAGAAATCAGATTGTTTTGAACACAAAAGTATAAAGACTTCGGTACAGAGTCAGAAACTCTGAAAACTCATGATTTTCTATCCATAAGAGCAAACACTAGATTCTAAAACAAATTCAAGCAAGGAGGAGGCAGCAATAAAGTATTCCTAGGAAACATTCCTAGGAAATTACTACTACCGTTAGTACAGAAATTCATAAAGCAAAAACTATACTAAAAATATTCATAATAATTGGCTTATTTCTCCAATCTACTAGACTTGAGAAGCAGTGTAGTTCACTATGCCAATTCAAGTATTACTGTACCAAGATTTTATTCCTTTCCTCCAACACTAAAGATTCTTTAGGCTATATGCATGGTAAGTCTACATTTTATTCACTTCTACCTATATGTCTTAAATCTCTCATTACAACCTACACATTCCAAGGCTTACCACTCTGTGAGAATCTCTAATTGCACTGCCTTTCAATCCTCAAGTTCAAGGTTCTACTGCCTCACCACACAGTGCTCAGGCAACTCAATACAGATTCTGGACTAGAGCCAACCTGATCAGAAAGGTCCCAGACAGTCTATCCCCCAAAAAGCTGGTTGGAGGTATGGTTCAAGTGGTAGAGTACCAACTAAGCAATTTCAAGGACCTGAGTTCAAATCTCTATATATAGAGAAGGGACTTCTTATAAGTTTCAAATGAACATCCTGTGTAACAAAGGAGACTTTTATTTATTGTTTTATATGTATTTCCCCCTCTGACTCCACAAATGCAGTATCTCAATGCTAACAACTATCCTATTTGTATAGGATAATAGCTGTTTTGCCACTATTTGAGTAATTAGTTTTCTCCAATAACATGCATTTTCTTTATTCTTACCTGTTGGCCTGGGTTTTTTTTTTTTTTTTGGCCAGTCCTGGGACTTGAACTCAGGGCCTGGACACTGTCCCTGAGCCTCTTTGTGCTCAAGACTAGTGCTCTACCACTTGAGCCACAGCACCACTTCCAGCCTTTTCTGTTTATGTGGTACTGAGGAACTGAACCCAGGGCTTCATGCATGCTAGGCAAGTACTCTACCACTGAGTCACCTTCCTAGCTCCTGTTGGTCTGATTTTCCAGGGGCTTCTCTTCCTTATTTGTTTTACTTGGTGCAGTACAAGACTTCAGAGCCAGAGCTTTGTATGTGAGGCAAGCACTGATACTGAGTTACAACCCCAACACTTGTTTTTGCCTATCCTGGAGCTTGAACTCAGGGCCTGGACCCTGTCCATGAGCTTCTGTGCTCAAGAAAGGCTCTACTACTTAAGCCATAGTCCCACTTGAACCATTTTGGTAGTTAATTAGAGATAAGAATCTCACGGATGGGGCTGGGAATGTGACTTAGTGGTAGAGTGCTTGCCTAACATGCATGAAGGCTTGGGCTCAATTCCTCAGTACCACATAAACAGAAAATGTCAGGAGTGGCGCTGCGGCCAAGTGGTAGAGAGCTGGCCTTGAGCAAAAGCAGCAGCTCAAGAACAGTGCCTCAGAACTGGCAAAAAAAAGAGTTTCATGGATTTTCCTGCCAGGGCTGGCTTTGAACTAGGATCCTCAGATCTCAGCCTCCTAAGAAATTAGGCTAATACCTGGTTTGGTTTTGTTGTTGTTGTTGTTTTGAGACAAGGTCTCATTAAACAGACTAACTGGCCCCAAACTCTCTCTTGACCCTCTTTCCTCAGCCAGTCCAGTATTAGTACTCCATACTCAATTCTACCTTCCTTTTTCAGCTCAAAACAATGCAGAACCCAACCACTGTGTCCTAATAAGAGCTCTCAAGGACACTAGCAGAGAAAACATATAAAATAGTAAATTGGTTTTTTTTGCTAGTACCAATTTCAACTTAAGGCCTCACATTTGTTTGGCTGGCACTCTACCACTTGAGTCATACCTTCAGCCTTGCTTTTTGCTATTTTTTTGCCCAGGCTGGCCTTGACCATGATCCTCTGGGTCTCAGCCTTATGAATGGCTAGGATTAAAAGGATGAGCTACCAGCATCTGACAAACTGATAACTTTTTGTTATATGTAGTTTGCCACCTCCCCTTTCTCACACACAAAAAGCAACTGCAGGGATGGGTGTATGTGCCTCTCACCTGTCTCAATATGGCAGAAAAGTAGTTAGGGAATGTGATACAGCTAGAATTTCTGGGCCTAAATGGGACCATCCTTAAAGACCTTGATTAAGTAACACTGTTCAGTGCACATCAACAGACCTGAGAATTCCTTTCCTAACTTAAAAACCAACACTATTCCAGGCGCCGGTGGCTCACACCTGTCATCCTAGCTACTCAGGAGGCTGAGATCTCCATGTACTAGTTTCTCATGTCTATATAAACTACTCAGGAGGCTGAGATCTGAAAATCATGGTTCGAAACCAACCAAGGCAGACATATCCTTAAGAATCTTATTCCCAATTAACTAGAAAAAAAGCCTCAAGTGGTAGAGGGCTAGCCATGCGCAGAAAATACTGATCAAGCTGGGAAGGTGGCTCAGTGGTAGAGCGCTTGCCTTGCATGCATGAGGCCCTGGGTTCGATTCCTCAGCACCACATAAGCAAAAAGAAAAAGGACGGAAGTGGTGTTGTGGCTCAAGTGGTAGAGTGCTAGCCTTGAGCTGGACAGCGCCCAGGCCCAGAGTTCAGGCCCCAAGACCGGACCCCCCCAAAAAAAGAAAGAAAATACTGATCAAGAGCTTAGAGCCAAGTTCAAATCCTGTCAGTATCAATACAGGAAACAACCACAAAACAAAACAAAAAAAAACCCAACAGTATATGTACAACCTGATAATATAGCTAAAAGCAAATGAAACTAGTAGACCAGAAAGGAAGTGTGTATAGTAAAAAACGGAAAGAGATCTGATGCCTTTCTACCAGGAAAATGTCTTCCATAAATATGGATCCCAACAAGTTTCCAATAGCCATGGGACAGTAATTCCAAATCCAGAGGATCTATGCATTCCTATTCTTCAATTTTCTGTTGAGTACGAGAGAAGATATAATCATTTCTAGAAATAAGTCACACACACACACACAAAAAGGTTTGGCTATTAGCTACTAGCCAGTTGCTACTAAAGCCATGGTTATTTAGGTCTAAGGTATTTAGCTGTTGCTGACCATCTAGCAAGAAAAAAAAAAAAAACCCTGAAGTACAAGACAAAGTACCTGTGGGGCACTGATGGCTCACGCCTGTCATCCTAGCTACTCAGAAGGCTGAGATCTGAGGATCACAGTTCAAAGCAAGCCAGGGCAGAAAAGTCAGTGAGATTCTTATCTCCAATAAACCACTCAGAAAAAAACCCAAAGTGGTGCTGTGGCTCATGTAGTAGAGCACTAGCCTGTGCAAAAAGTTCAGGGACAAAGCCCTTAGTCAAGTTCAAGTCCCAGGACCAGCAAAAACAAAACAATAACAACAACAACAAAAAGAAATCATACATGACATGCCTTAGCTATTTCCCTGTAAGTACCAACAAGAAACTTTATTTTGGTTGGGAGTATCACCATGAGCACTTCTAACCTTAATTTAACCAGACAACAAAATCCAAGTAATAGTTTACAAAGGATGAACAGCGAAAGCAATACAGTAAGATAAATATTCCCATTTTCACACTATAGACTACACCAGACAAGGAAATATTCAGAAAAACTTCCAAAGGTATGCTAGTTTAAGTGTTAAGAAACTAAGATCTTTGCTGGAATAATCAGCTCTGTTCATGCTTTAAAATTCCCACACTAATGCCTCCCAAAATCAATTAAATACAAGCTAGGAGAACTTAAAAGAATTACTGCTGAAATCTCTTTCAATATTAAACAGCAGTCATCTATAAGTTCAGTAGCCCAAAGACACTGATTATTCAGGACAAACCAGGGAAATGTGAATACATTTATCAAACAAGGCTGTACATAAGATGGTGATAGGTAACTTACCTATTTTATGAAGATTCCTAAGACACTTTATGAAACAAGGTTAAAGCTGAGGGATTCTACTACTACATATTTCTGATCTATCTTTCATGAATCTACTCTACTCCTCCTTTGTAACTCTTAGTAATATGGGAATCTGAGGGCCTTAGACATGTATAGATCACAAAACAAGCAAATTTGACAAAATATCCAAGAGATACAACATATAATCAAATTTGGCTTCAGGCTACAAGGCTATTTTAACAGGCTAGAAGAAGCATTAGTTAACAGCTCATCCTTAGATTTTATTTTATTTATATTGGTTGTGGGGTTTAAACTCAGGGCCTAGGCACTGTTCCTAAGCCTTTTTGAGCTCAAGGTTAGTGTCTTATCACTTGAGCCACAGAGCAACTTGTTTTTGAGTGGTTAATTGGAGATAAGAGGACTTTTCTGCCCTGGCTGGCTTTGAACTGAGATCCTCAGATCTTAGCCTCTCGAATAGCTGGAATTGTAGGCATGGGCTTCCAACACCCATCTTTATTATTTTGGTTTTTTTGGTCGGTCGTGGGGCTTTAACTCTGGGCCTGGGCCCTGTCCCTCAGTTCTTCAGCGCCAGGTTATTGCTCTACACTTGAACCACAGCACCACTCCCAGTCTTCTGGTGGTTTATTGGAAATAAGTGTCTCAAGGACTTTCCTGCCAGGGCTGGCTTTGAACCTAGATCCTCAGATCTCGGTCTCCTAAGTAGCTAGGATTACAGGTGTAAGCCACCAGCACCCAGCTTATTTTTATTTTTTGATGCCAGAACTGGGGCTTGAACTCAGGGCCTGGGCACTGTAGCTAAGCTTCTTTTGCTTGAGGCTAGCACTCTACCACTTTGAGTGGCTCCACTTCTGGCTTTTTTGGGAATTTAGTAGAGATAAGCATCTCACAGACTGTCCTGCCTGGGCTGGTTTCAAACCTCAATCCTCAGACCTCAACCTCCTGAGTGGCTCAGATGATAGGCGTGAGCCACTAGCACCCAGCACCATCCTTTTAATTGGGGAGATCATACTTGGAACCAGCAACACTACTCACCTTTAGTACAGAGGCTAGGCTGGTCATGTGTTCATTGAGGGCACCTTCAGACTCCTTATAGGTTAAGCAGGTGAACTGGTACTCCTCAGGATCAAAGGCGTCAGCTCCCTGTTGCTCCACATCGCTGGCTACTCCCACATAATAGTCCTCTATGTCCCCAGGGTCCTCGTCCTCTTCTTCTTCTTCCTCCTCACAATTTGGATCATAATCCTCTTCATTGCTGTCAGACCCCTGGCTATTCATGTCCACGGACATCTTAGCATCCAGCCAGGTTGCGGATCAGAAAAGCAGGTGCTTTTTCCTCCCCTCCCCCCAATCTTTACTGCTTTCTCAAATGCATTAGTGTTGTTTTTTTGTTGTTATTGTTGCTTTTCTGTCTTCTAAAGGAGGAAAGAAAAAAAAAGTGTTACTCCCCTCCTCCATGACAGACTATCACAAACAATTCAAGAATCAAAATGGCTGGATATGTGGCTTAGTGGTAGAGTGATTGCCTAGCATGAGTGAAGCCCAGGGTTCGATTCCTCAGTACTACATAAACAGAAAAAGCAGGAAGTAGTGCTGAGGCTCAAGTGGTACAGCGCTAGCCTTGAGCAGAGGAAGCTCACGGACAGTGCTCAGGCCCTGAGTTCAAACCCTAGAACTGTCCCCCCCCCAAAAAAATCAAACTGGCACATCCCTGGTCTTATTCCCATTTATGGCCTATTCTAATTATAGCCTCATATGAAGAAGCTCACCATTATCTCCCAGACCCAGGCTTATCAAAAGGAAACTTCCTTGCCTGAATCCCTCAGAAGCACATCTAGAGCTGGGACTATAGTGCTTATCTAACATGCATGAAGCCCTGGGTTCGATTCCTCAATACCAAATAAACAGAAAAAGCCAGAAGTGGTGCTGTGGCTCAAGTGGTAGAGTGCTGTCCTTGGGCAAAAGAAGCTCGGACACTGCCCAGGACACTCAGTTCAAGCCCCAGGACTGACAAAAAAAAAAAGGAGGGAGGAGGGCATGGTTCAACTGGCTTTCGAGCACTTCCCATGCAAGCAGGATTCCGATATAAACCCCGAATAACACACACACAAAAAAAAAGGAGGAAAAAAAACATAGGTAAATGCTTAGAAAATAAATAAATAAAAGCCACATAGCTCTTCAACATTTTTTTTTGTCAGTTGTGGGGCTTGAACTCTGGACTTGGGCACTGTCCCTCAGCTCTTCAGCTCAAGGCTAATGCTCTACCACTTGAGCCACAGCACCACTTCCTGTTTTCTAAGTGGTTTATTGGAGATAAGCGTCCCACAGACTTTCCAGCCCCGGCTAGCTTTGAATCCCCATCCTCAGTTCTCAGCCTCCTGAGTAGCTAGGATGACAGGCATGAGCCACATGCGCCTATCCGCTCTTCAACATCTTCATCTAGCCTATAAACTTATTTTTCAAGAGTCCTATTGGACCTTTAAAAGGAATACTTAGCCAGGCACCAGGGGCTCACCATATAATCCTAGCAACTCAGGAGGCTGAGATCTGAGGCTCACAGTCTGAAACCAGGCCAGATAGCAAAGTCCATGAAACTCTTATCTCTAATCAACTACTCCTCAGAAAAAGCCGGGAGTGATGCTGTGGCTCAAGTGGTATAGAGTCTAGAAGCTCAGGGACAGTGTCCAGGCTTTGAATTCAAATCCCAGGACCTGAAAAAAAATCTACAACAAAAATTAGGGAGCTGGAGATGGACGCCAGTGGCTCATGCCTGTAATCCTAGCTACTCAGGAGGCTGAGATCTAAGGATCACAGTTCAAAGCCAACACAGGCAGGAGAGTTTGTGAGACTCTTATCTTCAATTAGCCACCAGAAAACCAGAAGTGGCGCTGTGGCTCAAGCGGTAGAGCCCTCGCCTTGAGCTGAAGAGTGCAGGACAGCGCCCAGGCCCAGAGTTCAAGCCCCAGGACCAAATAAACAAACAAATTAGGGAGCTGGAGAATGATTACTTAGTGGTAGAATACTTACTAGCAAGTGTGAGTCTGTGTTCAAATATCAGTAATACCTAATCAGTAATTTATACATTAATATATGAAACCATTAAAGCAATTATGGATGCAGGAAAAAAAGGTACACTGAATACATGCAGTTAGTGTAAAGGATTACACAGCCACTTTTTATGGTGTTATAAAAAATGCCAATAAGTCTAAATTAAGTATAAGACAACAAAATGATGTTTGTAATTCAACATGTAACAGATTTTGTTTAGTAGAACTACCTAACCACAGCTGAACTCATTAAAGGGAAAAGTTCATCTTTAAGTTAAAAATACCTGTTATCTTTGAAGGTCTTCCAAGCAGACGTGGTCACCCAAATAGCCTGTCATATGATTTCCATCTACAATGAAATGAGAGAATATGTTTTTTAAATAGGTACCCTTTTTTCCAAATTTACTTTTTTTTTTTTTCCCCCTTGTCCTGGGACTTGAATTCTAGGCCTGGGCACTGTCCCTGAGTTCTTTTTGCTCAAGGCTAACAACACTCTACTACTTGAGCCACATTGCTACTTCCAGCTTTTTCTATTTATGTGGAACTGAGGAATTGGAACCCAGAGTTTCGTACATGCTAGGCAAGCCACATTCCCAGTTTACTTATTTTCCTTCTTATTTTGACAGATGTAAGATTTCAAACAGCACTGTTACTGTGAAGACAAAGTCTAGCTACATGAAGACTAGCTTCAAACTCCAGGTCATTCTGTTTTCCTTTCTAGAGTGCTGGGATTACAGATATACATTACCAGGCTTATTATTGTTAGTTTTTGGTGGTAATAGGCCTCATGCTCACTCAGCTTTGCTTGCTCCAATTGGTCCTCTATACTTGAACTATACCTCCAGTCCTTCTTTTTTCTTTTTTATGCTGGGCCTGGGGCTTGAACTCAGGGCCTGACTGATATAAACATATTTTATTTTTTTTTGGTCGGTCGTGGGGTTTGAACTCTGGGCCTGGGCGCTGTCCATCAGCTCTTCAGTTCAAGGCGAGCGCTCTACCACTTGAGCCACAGTTCCATTTCTGGCCTTTTGATAATTATCTGGAGATAAGAGTCTCATGCACTTTCCTGCCTGGGCTGGCTTTGAACTTCCATCTTCAGATCTCAGACACCTGAGTTGCTAAGATTACAGGCGTAAGTCTCTGGTCCCTTGAATTTTTGCTGGTTATTTTTGGAGACAGTCTCACTCAAACTTTCCTGTCAGGGCTAGCTTCAAACTAGGATCTTCCAGGTCACAGCCTCCTGAGTAGCTAGGATTACAGGCACTCAGCTGAGTTTTATTTATTTATTTTTTTGCCAGTCCTGGGGTTTGAACTCAGGGCCTGAGCACTGTCCCAGACTAGCACTCTACCACTTGAGCCACAGCACTGGCCTTTTCTGTTTATGTGGTACTAAGGAATCAAACCCAGGGCTTCATGCATGCTAGGCAAACACTCTATCACTAAGCCACTTTTCCAGCCTCTTAAGTTTTTTTTAATTAAGCAAAAAGTTTAAAAGTAACATGGGACTAGAATAATTGATTTTAAGGTCAATTTAAGGTCAGATTCATTCTCATTTCATCTTCACAGAAATTACTGCCACCTTCTTATGAATAGGGAAGCTGCAGTTTATAAAGGTTAAGTAACTTCCCCAGGATCATATAAATGCAACCAACATGAGACAGGCATGTATTCTTCTCAATTGTTATTCACAGCCATCTGCCAGTGTTGATTTCTGTGTATATGTCCATGTTGGTTCTGGAGTTTGAACTCAAGACCTGGGCACTGTTCTTGGGCTTTTTTACTCAAGGCATATGCTCTATTATTTTAAGCCACAGTGCCATTTCCAGCTTTTTGGTAGTTAACTGGAGATAAGACTCTCATTGAATTTCCTGGCTGAGCTGGCTTTGAACTGTGATCTTCAATCAGCCTCCTGAGTAGCTAGGATAGGTGTAGGCAACCTGCACCTGTTGGTATTGATAATTTTGTACGGCTCACAACTGAAGTTCTAAATGTTCAAATGGCCCCTGGCATAAAAACCAGGTTTCCCATCCCTGGATGGGGATTCATATCTAACCTAAAGTGCCTAACACAAAGCTATGCAAAAACTATCTAGAATTATTTTCAGCTAGACAATGGTGGCTCACATCTGTTATCCTAGCTACTTAGGAAAGGCTGAGACCTGAGAGTCAAGGCTTAAAACCAGACAAGTCAGACAAATCCATGAGACTTCTATCTCCAACTTAAAAAAAAAAAAAAAAAAAAAGCTCCATTACCAGCACTCAGGCCCAGAGTTCAAAGCCCAGGACTGACAAAGAAAAAAAAAAAGTGAGAGCAAGAAGCTTGTAGATCCAGATTTAAATAAAAACTTAATGGGATGTAACTTTTGCCCAAGTGAACTACAGTGATACACACCACCACACCCAACTAAAACTAGTCGAGGAACAGAAGCTCAGGGGAAGCACCCACGCCCTGAGTTCAAGGCAGCCAAAAAATAAAGTCCTGGCCTTAATCCTTAGTGCTGCCCTAAATAAGTCATACTAACCTTGCTCAAAGGGGCTATATGTTTCGTTAAAAACAACTTATAGCAATTCTTGGGGAGGGAGGAGAATTCTATTTGAGCCAGAGTCAGCTGGCCTTTACCTTCCAATCCTGCCTCCCTCTCTAGAATCCTAAGGATTACAGGCACATGCCACCACACCTGGCAAGATGATAATGTGTTCATTTCCTCTGAGGTGTTAACTATTCCCACATTGCAGACAGAAATGGATTAACTGAAATTATTTTTCTCTGGAATCAAAATCATGTTCAGAAGACCTGCCACTTGAGCTGGGAAGTTGGCTCAGTGGTAGAGTGCTTGCCTTGCATGTATGAGGTTCTGGGTTCAATTCCTCAGCACAACATAAGCAGAAAAAAGCTGGAAGTGGTGCTATGGCTCAAGTGGTAGAGTACTAGCCTTGAGCTGAAGAGCTAGGGAACAGCGCCTAGCCACAGAATTCTGGCCCCACGACCGACCGAAAAAAAAAATAAAAAAAAAAGAAAGAAATACAGCCACAAATAAATCCAATTTCAAACAAAAGCCAAGTTCTGGGTATATACTGGTATTAAGTTTCCTACAGCATTTGTCTCAGTGTCGAGAGCAATGGGCCTAGCCTTGAGGCCTAGTCTCATTAGGAACACACTCAGAATCCCTTATCAAAGGGAGAAGCATTAGATGGGCTGGGAAGGTGGCTCAGTGGTAGAGTGCTTGCCTTGCATGCATGAGGCCCTGGGTTCGATTCCTCAGCACCACATAAGCAGAAAAATCCTGAAGTGGCACTGTGGCTCACAGTGGTAGAGTGGTAGAGCACCAGACATAAGCAAAAGGAGCTCAGGGACAGCACTGAGTTCAAGCCCCAGGAATGGCAAAAAAAAAAAA